GTATAGGTGTGTTTTCTTTTATTACTACTACCTATTATTATTATTATTAGCCTACTTGGGACTGTCTGAGCTGCTTCTTCTTTGACCTGTAATACGATCTTGTTTATTTTTTTAAAATTTTGGCCATTATCTATTTAAATATGTTTTTTTTTCTGTTCTGTTCTTGTTCTCTTTTGTGAAACTCCAATTTATTTGTTATACCATCTTTTATTTTCCCATCTTAGATATTCTGTTCGACCTCTCTTTATCTTTTATTTCAGTTTAAATAATTTATACTAAACTATCTTCAAGTTGATCGGCTATTTCCTCAGCTGTGTTGAGTCTACTGATCACCCTGAGTAAATATCTCGATACCATTGTTTTTTCTAATTTCCCTCACTCAGTTATAGAACCCTTTCACTCTCTGGACAGATAGAAGTATCTTCAAACTCTTTATGGTTTCCATCTTTCTGCCAAAATTCCTCCTCTGGTTCATTAAAGTTACCTACTTTTTCCACTAAATCCTTTAACATACTAATAATAAAGTCCCTGATAGTTCCAATATCTGGGTCTCCTTTCCGTTGATCCCTCAACAATATGCCAGTTTTCCCTTGCCCTGTTTGTGTCCAATAATTTTTGACTGAATGCTAGGCATAGTGTACAGAATAGCAGAAGACTGAGATACTTATTATACATTTATACTTGGAACACGGCATATATATTCTGTCAAGCCATTAGTGTGGAGAGGTTAAGTTAATTTAGAAAGGAACTGAGCTTGGTACAGATTTTACTGTTGTTTTAGTTACCTTTAGCACACCACAGTTTTCAAATTCTTCTTATGGTGGACCTACCGTTATCTTGTGCAAAAGAAGAGAGATGAAGAGCTGGAGAGTTTTTCTCAATTTATCTGTTTTCCTCTCAGCTTTCAACCATTTCTGCATACCTCTACCACATAGGGATTTCTCTATATTCTTTTTTTTATGCTCAGTCACTGTATAGTTCATAATTAGTTTTTGATGTAGTGTTCAATGATTCATTAGTTAAGAATAACACCCATGGATTTCTCTATATTCTTGACCTTCCCCCAGCCGTAGAAAGCTTTTGTCTGTTACTTGGTCGTAAGGCAAGTAGGACTTTCAGTTGTCCCTGTCCAGCCTCATTATTAGGTAGGCCCTGTGCACCAGACGGTTCCTCCCTCCAGAAGCAGAAAGGTTTTGCTTCTAATCTGCCCCCAGAAATTTATGAAATAGGCTTTCTGCCCCTCCCTCACTGGTTTGAGGCTTAAAGGAATCTGAGTAAATGAGAGGGGGCCTTGCACCTATCTCCCAGGTGCCACAGATTACCTCTTTCACCTCTTCACCACCAAAATGACTTCTCAGGTCTCTGCCTTGCTCCTAGTCTTCACAGTGAGTACCCTGTGGAGTTCCAGGGAAATGTATTTGCAAGCATGTATGAACTACCCTTTCATCTGGGGCCCTCAGGTACTCCAAACTAGTTCCTACTGAGTCTTTAACAATCAATTAAAACTTTAGTCAATTTCTTTTTTTTTTAATATTTTATTTATTTATTTGACAGAGAGAGACACAGCGTGAGAGGGAGCACAAGCAGGCGGAGTGGGAGAGGGAGAAGCAGACTTCCCGCAGAGCAGAGAGCCCGATGCGGGGCTCGATCCCAGGACCCTGGGACCATGACCCAAGCCAAAGGCAGAGGCTTAATGACTGAGCCACCCAGGCGCCCCAGTTGATTTCTTCTTACCCACTTTTATGGCAGCCATTTCTTTCTCTCGTGCTCTGCCAAAGGTCAAAGAATCAATGACCCATTCTATGGGGGCAATGGGGTGTGCAATTCTTTGGAATTTAGGTTACTTGGCTGCTTTGCAAGCTGAGCTCTCTGATGGGCTCAGAGAAATTATGATTTTGTAGATCATCCAGCTTGTTATTGTAGGTAAGAGTGGGATGTTATGTGCCACTCTTTACATGCTGAGTAGAAGTCCCCCTTCCACTTTGATTCACCTTCCTTTTCTGTTTTGGAAAGGCATCACAACTCTTCCAGTCATCCAGAGAAAACCTGGGAAGTATCCCTGACTTCTCTATAACAATGTTGAATATTCAATCAGTCGATAAAGTCTGGATTAGATACATCACTAATATCTTATTAGAATCCTTTCTATTTTTCTAGTATAACTACTTATCTCACAATAGCCTCTTGTAACGATATTCCTTCAACTAGCTGCCTCCTCCAATCTGCCTTCTCCTTTTTTTGTGTGTGGAATGATTGTATTTTTATTTTCTATTTTTTGGCTTTTAATTTTCATTTTAATTCAGATGGACTTTTTTTTTTAGATTTTATATTTATTTGAAAGCAAGGGTATGCACAAGCAGGGGGAGAGGCACAAGGAGAGAGAATCTCAAGCAGACTCTGTGGAATCCAACGTGGGGCTTGATCTCACGACCCTGAAATCATGACCTGAGCTGAAACCAAGAATTGGACACTTAACTGAGCCACCCAGGTACCCCTCAAATGAACTTCTTCTAATTAAACCTGACTTTGTATCAGACTGCCTCACTACAGTATTGTACTTGACTCTTTACAATCAAGGCCATGATCAATCTGATCCTATTCTGCCTTCACAGGCTAACTTCCTAAAGGAATACAATGTTCTATTTCCATACTGACCCAAACCCTCTTTTTAACACCTAGAAATCTTGTAATTCAAGGTCTATTACAAAGGGGACACTTTCTATGAAAAAACTTCCCTGATCACACAGACAGAATTCCTCTCTTCCAAATTGTATGCTGCTTTATTTGTATTATAAAAATAACACTTATTATGGACTGGGTATTAAATTGTATACACCTCTTACATCCTTTACAATATCATAAACTCCAAAAAAAACAGAGATCAGACCTTATAAATTGTTATATTTTCTTTTAGCTTTCCCACATAAATATTTATCTTGCAAATTAAAATAGTAAAATTAGTAACATGAGTCTTTCTTATAATCCATCCCTGACATGGTTACTAAAAACTTCTGCCAGCCCAAAAATGTCTGTTGTCTCAAAAAGGAAAAAACACACACTGCAACTATAATTATGGTATCCAAACATTTTCAGAGGAAAACCCAATTAGGATTAGTTTAGACACCTCCTAGCATAGCCAACCATTTATGCTATTAGAGTTAAACCTATAATGGTAATCCCAAACATAGATATACTGAAATTCCTTTATTTAGTTCCATGTAAATCACCCCAAGAGATCCACAAATTTTACCAAGGAAGATCACTGCCACTAATAAAAAGAAACAGCCTATCTACCTTAGTGCCTGATTTGGCAATCATACTCAGGCGTTTGCCAAGATGGAAAAGTGACAAGTTTCTATTAATCCTTTTCAATAAATAGGGAAAAGTATAATCAAAACACAGGAAGAAAAAACAACAGTTCTAGTATTTTATTCCTTTTCATAATAGTACTCTCAAAGACATTTTCAAGAAAGAGCTTATAAAAATCCTGTATGCTACTTTAGTGAAAAGCCAAAGTAGGCACTATCTTTACCAATTACCTTCCGCAGTGAGGCTATATAGCTGGCGCCAAACTGGAACCTGAACTTAATCTGACTCAGACATCAGACTACATGTCTAAAGCATTATCTTTTTCATACATTCTTGAGAACTGCACAAAATGAAAAATGGTCTTCTTGCTAAAACAAATAAGTAATACATCCAACAGGTATCCTTATCAATTTGACACAGATTATCCAACAATTCAACTTCTAGTAATTTAGTATGAGAAAATAATCATATAAAGAAGTTCAGCATAGCATCGTTCATAATACTAAAACAAAGGAAACAATTTAAAATGTTAACCAACAGGGAATCACTTACACAAAACAAAGTGCAAATAAACTGTTCAACGATGGAAAATGTTGATATAGATCTATATATTTATTGACATGAGAAGATGTTCACAGCACGTTGTTCCAAGAAAATGTGTTATCAAACCATATACACATCTATGCATGTTCATATGTAGTACTCCTAGAAGGCAGGATTTGGAGCATGTGCCATTATCAATTTATTGCCCCTCAATTCCAAATTCATCCTTCATTGCCTGCTCTGCAAAAACGAAGGTGAGCCCTTTATCTATCCTTTTCTTTGCAGAGGACATATGTTTTAAATTTTATCAGCTGGAGAGCAGCTTCTCCCAACACCCCAACCCCTCAGGTGGTTTTGTAGCAGAATGCCTTCAGGGAGACACCTCCTTGTGACTGGCTGCCGCACACCAGACCCTGGGTTTTGAGCAGGGTTCAAGAGCACAGCAACTTCTCTGTTTTCCAGTAAAACATGGCCACACCGTCTCCAACACAGTCTGGATCTGTCCTGAGGAGCTTAACACTCTCTCTCAGACCTACAACTTGTGACTGCTCTTTATATCTGCCATTCTTATATTCACTAGAGTTGTCTTTACTTCTTGCCAGCCCACCCCTTGTTACTCTAATTCTGTTATAGTTAATAGTTCTTTATAGTCAGGATTATCTGCTCAAATTATTGTGTGGGTTCCCCAGAACTGAAGGACTGATAAAGGCTAGGGCTTTTTCCCCCTTTTTTACTTTTCAATGTTGTCTGAATTTATAATAAGCATCTTTTGTATGTGTGATAATTAGAAAAGGCATGTTATTTTTATTTTGGAAAAACTCAATGCAAAATAAAAAGTACTTTAAGTTTTTCTATTTTAATAGAGCAAAAATATATTTGTGAGATTAAAATGACTGAAATATAAAGAACATTCATTTGTGTAAGACTGTACTTGTTCAGTTCTTTTCAATATTAACCAAAATTGTGTTTCTAGGTCATTTTAAGCAGTAGTAAATATTCAGACTGCTTTCTTTTCCTCTTAGCTCTGCCATATACTGGTCTTTAGAAACGGGTTTTTATCATGAGGTATCCTAGAGTAACAGGTACTGTGATATATACTAGTTCCTCAAACACAGCCTCTTTCATTTTACTATTCCAGCCCCTCTTACCATGTTCAAGAATTATCAGCTGGGCTCCAGCTTGTGCATTTCCAACATCATTCTCTGCAATGCATTGATAGAACCCTTCATCTGATTTCACCAGACCCAAAACTTGAAGATTATGTTCCTTCTGAGAAAGAAAAACATAAACAAAATTTTATGATTTGACTGAGGAACATTAGTTCAAAATCTCAAGGATATGCTCTTTCTGGGGAGAGAAAATAAGTAAAATTGTATGATTCAGCTACTGAATATTATCTATCTATGTACCTGTTAACTCAATTTTATTGACAAGGTACTGATTTAACTGACTAGAACAGGAAGCACGGTAACTAAATAAGAACTTAATCCCTATGGAAAATAATACCCACAATGTTCGCAGACCTACACCGTTGGTTGGAAAAATATCTGACATACAATACCATGTGACCATAGTAAAGGTCTGAATTTGTGAATTCAAGTCATTTTCTAAAAATTATCTCTAATATCATTAGTTCTAACAGATTAGTGTACAGTAAGTTAAATGAGGATGCATATATAGCTTCCCTTAAATTACAAAGAACTATATAAATGTCAAATATTGTTATTAAATTAATATGGTTTTAAGACTTTTAAGAATAAAATGAAACTGATAAGAGTAAAAATGCTCATTTAGCTGTAACACATTGCTTTTTAATTAGAATTAAATATACTTGCAAATTACTTTTTGTAACATATGAGATTATGCATTTCAAAATAGAAAATATATTCCTACTAAGAATGAATTACTTATATGAAAAATTTATAAGACATTACATTACATCAGTAACAACCATAATTACTTCTGATTATTTCTATGAATGCCATGTACAAACCTTAAGATATTAATCCTTATTACCAAAACTTATGATAATTTTATTACTAGGATTTAGATAATGATAATAATAATAGTAGACAATATTTACTAAGCATTTAACCATATATCAAATAAAAAGCAATAATGGCTGAGTATTCTTAAATACATTTAATGCTATTTACTTTAAGAATCTTTTTTCTATCATCACAATCGTCCAACCCTGGGTCATACTTCTTTTGAAAGGCCTGGGCATCGATGTATGAAGGACAAATTTCTGTTCTTTGAATGGAGAGCTATGAAGACAACTGGTGCACACACAGCATAACCATTACCAAGAAAATAGTGACAACTGTGTTTAATAAGAGTACTAGCATGTTTGAGTTGGAATACCAGACTGTTGGTCAGGAGATTTGGACGTTAGGCTTAGTTCAACTACTGAGCTGCTATTTGATCTTATATAAGCTACCAAATACATCTAGGCTCAGCTTTCTCATCAGCTAATGAAGAGATTACATGCTATGTGTATTTTCCTGTCTTCATCTGCAGTACATAAACTGGTATATATAAGACAACAGATCTCTTAGTGATTACATTTAAAGACATTTAAAGGTTTGGGAGAGAAGTGTCCTTTGAAAAATACTTACTACAATTTTAAAGTAATCACTTGGAATAACCATATCCCCATTCTTGACCCACTTCACAGTTGGAGTTGGTTTTCCAGTCACTTCACATTCAAATACAATATCCATTGATTCGTGAGCATATATATTAGTAGGCTGTTTCAGGAATTCAGGTTGGGCTTTAAAAGAGAAAGGAAATTAAGATATTAATAAAATAAAAATAGCTGTTCATATTTCAAGCATTTTTTTAAATTCTAGAATTTACAGGATTTTTACTTATTATTTGAGGCTTTCACATATTTTTACAAAAGCATATAACAAATATATGTTGGGGGAGGGGAGGAGCAACATGGCGGAGGAGTAGGAGACCTAAATTTCGCCTGGTCCCAGGAATTCAGCTGGATAGGGATCAAACCATTCTGAACACCTACAAACTCAACAGGAGATCGAAGAAAAGAATAGCAGCAACTCTCTGAACAGAAAAAACCACTTTCTGGAAGGTAGGAGGTGCGAAGAAGTGAATCCCAGGTGATATTCGGGAGGACAGATGGTGGGGAAGGGGGCCTCCATCAGCCACCACCGGCAAGTGATAGAGGAGCTGAGCACAAAATCGGAAAATTTACAAGTCAGCTCTGCTGAGGAACGTCGCTCCAGTGGCTACGTGGAGGGTGGAACCCTCGCTGGGACAGTGTGGTCTCAGGACCCTCGGGGTCACAGAAAGACGGGGGTGCCTGAGTGCGGCAGAGCTCCCAGGTCTCGGAGCGGGGAAGCCAGCTGCAGAGACGGAGCCAAGGCGCGGGCTCTCAGCCTGGGGTTGCCATAAACCGTGATCCGCGGCCCAGTCAGGCCACTGCTCTTCCAGCAGGGACCCAACAAGTAGCAGATCCGGGGAGACTCCCCTTCTTCCTCCGGGAGGAGCAGCGCGGGAGTGCACTGCAGGGATCTGCTGGGTTTGGAGACTCCACACCGAGTTGGGTGCCAGAGATAGAAACGCTCCGTTTCTTTCTATCTATCTATAGATAATAGCTATCTTTCTATCACAGGCCAGGTGAGCACAGAGTGCCGCCAGAGACCAGGGAGACGGGAGTGACTGACTGCTTTTCTCTTGGGGGCTCAATGAGGAGTGGGGCCCCGAGTTTTCGGCTCCTCTGGGGCGGAGACTAGGAGGCTGCCATTTCACTGTCGTCCTCTAAAGCTGTACGGAAAGCTTGCAGGGAACAAAAGCTCCCAAGAGCAAACATGAGCAGATTACTTATCCCAGACCAGGCAAGGGCGGGGCAATTCCGCCTCCAGCAAAAACATTTGGGAACCATGGCAACAGGCCCCTCCCCCAGAAGATCAGCAAGAACAGCCAGCCAAGACCAAGTTTACCGATCAATGAGAATGGCAGAACTCCAGCGCTAGGGAAATACTGCACATAGAATTCATGGCTTTTTTCCCCATGATTCTTTAGTCTTTCAAAGTTAATTTTTTTAATTTTCTTTTTCCCTTCTTCAACCAAATTCTTATCAATCCCTTTTTTAAAAAATCTTTTCTATTTTTCATTTTTAGAGTCATATTC